TGGAAGCCTAAATTTCTATCAACAAGAAGAGGTTAAATATAAACCATAAATTAGTCACACATTGGTATGTTATGTAGCAATCTAAAAAGTTGAGCTCATAGAAGTAGAGAGTAGAATTGTGGAGGGGGGATAGGAGGAGGTTGATTAATGGATACAAACTTACAGCTAGATAGGAAGAATAAGTTCTAGAGTTCTGTAGTAGTGTTAGGCATCCACGATTAACAATTATGGTATGCAGGTACTTCAAAAGCTCATGGAAAAATAGAATTAGAAGATAATGCAAATCTTTCCATGAACCTTTTGAAGAATCCTAACATATTTTCAAATGGCAAGAAGAGAGGAGTTCAAATATTCTCAACACGAAGAAACGATAAATGTTTGTAGTGATGAATATGCTAATTACCCTGATTTGATCATTATACTTTGTACCAAAATATCACTCCACACCACATAAATATGTACAATTATTACATTTCAATTTTTAAAAATGAGGGCAGGACATGTTTATTATAAAGACGTGCTCAAGATATCAAATGATAAAAGCAGATGCAGAACTGATATACGATCTAATTTTTTTTTAAACTGGAAGTACACACAAGTTTTTTAAGTGGTTACCCTTTGTAGAATTAATTGGTTATATAGAGAATGGGAAATTTTTAAAATATATGAAACATTTTATACCATTTACACTGTTCGTTTAATCACTTTATCTGCCCAGGAAACAGATAACTCAGGAAAACAAAAACTGCACCAAAGTTATGACAAATATTGAAGAAAATATTAAGTCCATTCAAAAAGGCTACCATTGAGGAGAAACAGATTTAACCAGCCTGATATTAAACATACAATAAACTAAATAATATGTTTTATTAAAGTTATGATTAAAAAATTTTGAAGAAATCTTTTAAATTACAACAACAACAACAAAAAAAACAAAGATGGAGATGGGATTTTTTTAAGAAGGTAAGAAAATTAAATGTTAATCTCAGAAAACAAAACACCTAATTAGAGGCTAAGAAAAAGAGAAAAAGGAAGGAATGATCAATGTCAAAGAAGACTCAAGAAATTTGAGAACCGAGGGGACAGCCCGGTGGCGCACTGCTACAGTGCGCTGCTGGGGAGTGCGGTGGCGCTCCCGCCGAGCGTTCAGATCCCACATACAGACCGGTTCCCGCTCACTGGCTGAGCGAGGTGCGGGCGTGACACTGAGGGTTGCGATCCGTTGCCGGACACGAAAAAAGACAGAAAGGAAAAAAAAAAAAAAGAAATTCGAGAACCGAAGGGCACATTTTTTAAAATGTAAGGGCCCACTTAATTTTCAACCCAATAAAGAGATTAAGGCCCAGAACCTAATCACATCATGACATTTCAGAACACATGGGTGGAGAACCCTAAAAGCTTTCGTAGCATAAAAGATAGATCACATGTAAAGTAAAAATTGAAATAGCATCAGATTTATCAACACTCGGTGACACAGGGATACTAGAAACATGGAGGGAAAATTATTCTCAACCTGGAATATTACTCCCAAACCATTTACCAAATGGGAAGCAGTGTTCGAAAAATTTTCAATCAGGCAAAGTCTCAAAAATACTATCTCCTGTGGACCTTTCTCAAGAAGTTACTATAGAATAGGTCCTCTGAATCAGTGATAAGAGAGACAGATGTGGAATCTAGGGGAAAGAGGGAAATAACATTTGAGAGTAGAAAATGGAATTCGAGATTAAATAAATACCCAGGATGAGAGTTACATGGCAACCAACACAGATGGGAGAAGGACATAGGGCTTCAGAAAATTGTCTAGAAATAATGAAAAGGAAACCAGGGAACTCCTGGTGTCGTAACGATTGCACGGGAAGTTGAATAAAAAGCAATTATTAACTCAAATAAACACAGGGAACTGTTCCCAGTAAGAGGCATGCATATGGGGCTGAACAGTGCCCCTCCCCCTAGATATATCTGTGTCCTGATCCACAGAACCTGTGATTATTACCTTATATGGCATAAGAGTGGATATTACCTGACATGTGATTAAGGATCTTGAGAAGAAGAGTTTATCTTGTATTATCTGGGTGGGCCTTAAATGCCATCATATATATCCTAATAAAAGAGAAGCAGAGGAATACTAGACACAGACACACAGAGAAAAAGACATAGTAGGTAGCAATGAGAACACAGAGATAGACTGCAGCGATGAGGCCAAAACCCAAGCCACCAGAAGCTGGAAGAGACAAGGAACAGATTTTCCCCTAGAGCCTACGCAGGGAACGTGGCTTTGCTGACATCCAAATTTCAGACTTTTGGTCTCTCTTTCAGAGAGTTGTTTTAAGCTACCCAGTTTGTGGTACAATTTGTTACAGAAGCTGTAGGAAACTAACACAACATGTAATCTTGATTTATTACATGGCTCAGTATTGACTTATGTCTTCATGACACTGAATACTGATTCTGTCATGAAAAATATGATAACTTTACTAGAGAATAGAAGGGAAGAAAGATACCTACCATGACAAGAAGTCAGAGATAATTATTCTACTGCATGGTACAGCAACTATAATTAACAAAAATATATCATATATTTCAAAATAGCTAGGAGGGAAGATTTTGAATGTTCTCATCTCAAAGAAATGATAAATGTCTGAAGTGAAGGATATGCTAATTACCCTAATTTGATTATTACGCATTATATATGTGTGGCAAAACATCATACTGTACCTCTTAAATATATACAATTATTATATGTCGATTTAAAAATACATTAAGTATAAAAAGAAAAAAATAGAAAAGAAAAACTAAGAAATAGCAGAATATGTTAATCACTTATGACTGTAGAAACAAATGTCAGATGTGGCAGCCAAGAGTGGCATGTGGTTGCTTCAAGAATTGGGCAAAGGACTGACACTTTTCATTAGAAGATTTGTGTTTCTGTGATTCTTTGTGGATTACATACATGTGTGTGTATTTCTTTGATAAAACTAAACTTATTACGTAAATACCTATATTACTTTGTTCATGTGAAATATCTATGGAACCACTGGAACAAAAAAATACAGATACCTGTTAATTAACCTGTTAACTAATTTGTTATAAACCTGTTAATTAACCTATTAATTAGGTTAATAGGTAATCTAAATACCTATTAGTTAACTAAATTACAAAGTCCAGAGACAGACACTGATGTCTAAGAACTTAGGGTGAAGTCAAAGTATGTCCAGTTTACAGTAACTTCCCATTCAATAATCAATACTGGAAGTACTAGTTGGGAAGTTTTTCAATTTTTGCATATTATAAATTCAAGATAATTTCAGAGTAGGAGGCAAATGTGGACCCAGTAAAAGCAGTGCTCCATCCAGCAATTTGTCCATGATCAACATAGAGCAGTGCACAAACCTGTTTCTTCTTCTGGAAACTCTAGTTCTTCTTGGTTTGGAACTTGGATTCCCTGGGTCTGCATATTTACTGAAATAAACAGTGATGAGATATTAAAATACCCCAGACCAAAAATGGGCAGGCAACAAAGGAGGCTCCCAGAAGAACCAACTATTTATCTGGCAAACTTTAGATTGAAGGGACTGAAAGAATCAGATCTTCAAGCGCCATTAACCCAACTAAAGATGCACCATGCCACTTTGGCAATACCACAGCACACATTAAACATATACCTGCCTCAGGGCATTGGCTCCAGCAACCTCCCCTCCTTGGAATCCCAGATATCCACTTGGCTCACCAGAAAGTCTTTGCTCAAACCTCACTTACTCAGTAGAGCCTGATAATCCTAATTAATACTGCCACATTTGCCCTTAATTGTACACATGAGGCTTTATCTGCCTTACCCTCTCTCTTTTCCATTGCACTTGTCACCTTCTAACATACCATATGATTCATTGATTTATTATGTCAATTACCTGTGTAGGTAGCTGGGTAGTCTCTGTTCACTGATTTATCCCTAGTATATAGAGCAGTGTCCAGCACATAAAAAACATTCTAAAACACCGTAGGAATGAAAGCACCAAGAATTGGGTTCTAACCCCAGCTCCTCAATTTCTTCACATGACTACTCTGAATGTCCCGTTTGACATAAGCTAAAGGACCCCTTCCGTGATTCACATAGTGGGCACGCTCATATTTCATTGGTCAGTACTTAGTTGCTATGAGCCAATACTTCGTAAGGGATCTGACTGTAAAAGGATATAGCTCTAACACTTATAACCCCATTGACTGCCCATGTTGACAGGGCTTGATCATTGTGGCAAATGAGTCCCGGACTTTCTCCTGACGTGACATGTACCTTTGAAGAAGCACCCCTTTGAAGAAAGAACAAGAATCCATCATTCTCCACACATGGTTGACTGGGCCAAAGAATTCAAATTCTGTGAAGCCGCACAAACCCTACCTGCAGAGTCTGTGAGCCCCACTTCCNTTGCATACAAATATGCAGTTAAGTAAATGGGATCCCTAATTTTATTGCATTTTAAGCCTCATATCTAATGGGGAAGACAAGGGGGGGAACTTTGACCTTGCCTTTTTTTACCCCTGCTGGTTCAAAATTAAGTTTAACTCACCAAAATTAAGCAGCTGACAGTGCATCTCTCTGCCCTTATCTTTAAGAAGGAAACAACAATCACAATAATACATGGAACTTTCCGAAGGAGGGAACAGAAATATGGTTACTAGAGGTGGGAAAGGAGGAGGGGGTGGGGGGTTAGCATGAAATTGATTAATGGACAAAGAGGATGATTATGTTTTGTAATGCAATAAAATTTTTTAAATGCTTTATGAGGGAAGAAAGGATCACTACATAATTAAAAATGTAATTCATTGAGAATATACAGTAATTTTAAACTGTTAGGTACATAATAAAATAACTTCAAAACATATGAACTCCACACAAGTATGGCGACATGATTTTTGACAAGGTTGCAAAAGCAATTCAATGGAGGAAGAGTAGTTCTTTCAACAGATGGTGCTGGAGCCTTTGGGTCTCTATGGGAAAATAAAAAGGCATAGCAACCTATACACACCATATGCACACCATATGTACACCATATACAAAAAATCAACCCAATAGAAATCATAGGTTTAAATGTAAAATGTAAAATTATGAAACATTTACCTTTGATTATTCTTCTTTGCCTATGGAATAAAGTCTAATCTCTTTAAAATAAAAATCCCAATTCTGACTTCCCTTTGGCCATCTATGAAAGCCTGTTGACCTACAGATTCTTCCACCCTAAATTTTCTGAGATAGTCTTGGGTAGGACGGATGATATGTGCAGTGAGGTGGCAAAGGTTCTTCCAGTTCTAATACCACTAGTCTGGAACTATCCTCAAACTAGAACCTGGAAACCACAAGGGCATGTGATGCTATTAGAGAAGAACTACCCCAAAGGTCAGCTAACACGTCAGTTCCTACTCCATGTCCAAAGCCGCCTGAGCATTTCATTCTAGAAACTCATAGGTTGGGTACAGTAAGCCCAATTTTCAAAAAGAGTGAATTGGAGCTTATGTGGTTTTAATGTCCTTTCCAAATCTCCTGTTGAAACTTAATACCCACTGTAACATTATAAGAGGGTGGGAAATCCAACTATGGTATTTGAAATGTGGAGCCTTTTAAGAGGCAATTAGATCATGAGGTCTATGCCCTTATGAATTAATTTCTTCATGAATTAGTGGATTGATGGGTTGTCATGGGAGTAGACTGGTGACTTTGTAAGAAAAGGAAGAAGCACATGAACACAGTCTCTCACCACCTGATGTCCTGTGCTATTTATGGACTCTGCAGAGAGTCCCCACCAGGAAGAAGGACCTCACCAGATATACTCACTTTGTAAGAAAAGGAAGAAGCACATGAACACAGTCTCTCACCACCTGATGTCCTGTGCTACTTATGGACTCTGCAGAGAGTCCCCACCAGGAAGAAGGACCTCACCAGATATACTTCCTCTACCTTGGATTTCCCAGCCTCTGAAACTGTAAGATACTAATAACTTTTCTTTATAAATTACTCAGTTTCAGGTATTCTGTTATAAGCAACAGAAAACTAAGACAGGGGCCCAGTGGTAACATCATTTGTCCAAGGTTACAGTTGGTCAGATGGAACTGGCCTTTGAATCCAGGCAGCCTGGCTCTAGAATCTGAGTTCCTAAACCAATAGTCCCCAAAAGACAGTGTGCACGTGCCTGTGTACACATGTGTATTCACAAACTACTCACAAATACACATCCCACAGCACTGATCAAGCACAGAAACCCTCATCATGCTGTGTTTCCTAGTGGGGCAGAATAAATAAGACTGATCTACACACTGAACTTTTTTTTTAATCATCTCCTACATTGCTGGTAAGATGGATGTAGCCTAAGGCTTCCTCCTACTTGAGAGGTATCCTCCACATGACCCACTAATTTAGAAGGCCAGGCAGAATCAGAGAAAGTGGTGTCCTTTGAGGTGCCTAGTGTGGCTCTGTAGCCTTTAGGCAGGGGGTTTATGTTGTCATTCGGGACCAGTGGCCAGAAAGAAGGTTATTCTTTTGGTAGCATTCTCTTTTATGCAAATTTCTCCCTCTTGGTCTCTACAAAAATGGGATTTCCAGTCAGGATTTAGGATTCTAGATTCGTTCCCTAGCTTTAGGCTTAAAGTCTGCCTATTCTGAACAAGAGTATCTGAGAGATTTAAAAATGAAAGAGGGAAAGGAGCAGAGAAGACAAGGGAGAGTTCTAGTCTCCATCCCATCCTCCCGCCCACCTGAATTTCCATGAATCAGAATCTCCAATGGCCAAGATTCTGACATAGAAGATTTAGTGTTGCCCACTCTCACTCTCCCTCCTTAAACTCACGCCCTCATTTTGGGACAAGAGAAACATTATGTGGCCAAGCACAGAGCTTCTGGAGACCCACTGCCTGAATTCAAGGCCCAGCTCTTCTAGTCACCAGCTCTGTGACTGTGAGCAATTTACTTGAACTGTCTTTGCCTCAGTTTCCCCCTCTGTAAAAACAGTATTAATAGGACCTCTTTCTTGTGAATGGAGTGAAGAGTAAGTATGAATGCACAGAGAGCAATAAGATCAATGCCTGGTTTGTAACAGGCAGCAGCAAATGTTATGATTATTTTCAACAGGTCTCAGAGGCAGTCAGTCTGCTATAAAATGACCTATGTGTTCCTAAAACTCATCACAGTAGGTTAAATTGTGCAATATAAACCACAGGGCTTAGTGGGCATGGGATCAGTAATACATTTTTAAAAAGATAAAACCTTAGTAAAAAACATGAGCACAGTTCTGGACTGGCTAATTGGTTATGAAATATGTTACTACTATAATAAATATTACAATACCACAATTGATACTACAGTGCCACAATAGATATGCCATGGTAATTTACCTTGAAAAAGACGTGAACTTTGCTTGTGGGTGTGGGCAGTGTTGAAGCTTGTGAGTTTTTGTGAAGTGGTGGAAAGAAAGTGATCTTAAATTGAACAGAAAGCTTTGGATGGGCATGGCTCATATTTAGGTAGCTGGTAGATGTTTGAGCTGTATATCTGGATGCATTTTGTATATTCCTATATAGCTCAAGTTATCTGGCTGCAGAGGTTGTTTGTTTGTTTTGATTTGTTGTTTTGGTTATTTGTTTTTCATTTACCTAGTATTTCTCTTGGACAAAATTATACATAAGCAAACATAAAATTCTTGTTATGCTCAAATTGCTCCCCAATACAACAATTTTACAGGAGCAAATTTGAATTTTTAAAATAAGTCTTATAACATAACTGAATGTACTTCTTTCAATTCTCTCTTCTTGCTTCTGATCACTATTCCTTCCCAGGCTAGAGCTTCAAACCTCTCTATAGCCTTTATACTTTTAAATTTTAATCCTTCAGAGCCAATCAGAAATTTCTTTCTCAGGGCTACAGTAGCAATTTGGAATGACCCTATAAAAATTCGGGAGCAACCTCTTTGCTCCCATGAGCACCAAACAGACCTCCCTCCTTCCCTCCCTTCCTCCTTCTTGAAGACTCACTCACCTCTCATCTCTGCTTTAACTTTCTCACATAGTGAAGTCAGATTCATGTTCTTGAAGATGCTGAGGGCCACTTCCCATGCCTGCCATTCTGAGAAGTGTTCATTCAAAAGAAAGAACAGATTAAGAGGATCAGCAGCTTTCAAGTTTGCCCAGGGGATTGGCCGGAAGTTTGCAAGCAGCAGCTGTTGGGACTGGAGGCAAAGTTTGAATTCCTCTAGCTGATACTCATCCAGGGCTTCCAGGTAAGACAGGAGTTGATCATTGGTGCAATTGTGCACAGAGGCGGTAGCAGAGGAGCTCATCTTGCCCAATATGCAAGATTTCTCACTCCAACAAAGGATTGTTACATGCACAGAACATACAGGGCCTACAGAAAAGTAGAAAATTGAAATCGTAAGCCATGACTATCACCTCCTCTAAACTGTCTAGTCTATACATTTACTTTGCTGTTTCCTCCTTATAGTTACAGGGCCTACAGAAAAGTAGAAAATTGAAATCGTAAGCCATGACTATCACCTCCTCTAAAGTGTCTAGTCTATACATTTACTTTGCTGTTTCCTCCTTATAGTACAGATGGCCCTCCATATATGTGGGTTCCACATGCGTGTATGCAGCCAACTGTGGATCAAAAATATTTAGGAAAAAATAAAAAATAACCATGGCTGAGGGTGGGTGCAGAGTAAGGTGGCCGACTGGAAGGATACATTTCGTGGCTCTCCACAAAGACAGAGAATGCATCGAATTCATTTTTCTCATCCAAGTGTAACAGCGCAAGAGAGCTGGAACACATTGAAGGAGCAGTGGAGACATTTGGGGCTCACCAGATGCCCCAAGGTGAGCACAGCAACTCAGGAAAGTCACAAGAGAATGGAAGAAAATTCCCAGCCACCACCACCCCATCCTGCACCCCATTCCCCAACCCGAAGTGGCAGGGATTCAGGAGGAGTTTCTGCCCACGGGAAGGTGAGTGGGCTGTCAGTTCAACCCACAGGGGGATCTGTGCTGCCCTTGCAGCTGTGCACCCAATGTCAGGAACTGGTGTGGGTATGTTGCACAGCTGTGTTGTCCTGAGGAGCAACACACACAGAGCTGTCACCACCTCCCAGGTCCCAGACTGCTGCCACAAGCTTGGGACTAGGATCAGTCCCAACACCCTCAATTTGGATTTGGTCCTGCACCCTAGGAATGGATGGTCCAGTGCAGGATGGAGGGGGTCAGTATGCACACCCTCCAGAATCAGAAAGCAGCATATTCGGGCCCTTCACCCCTGGCTAGTGACTGTACCTATGTTGGCAGGATGCCTTTACAATTCTTATATCTGTGAGGAAGGGGAGGAGAATCCATACACCAGTGTTAGGGGCGGCCCCTGTGGCCATGTGCCTGGTACTGGGCACTCTAGTGTCACACATGACAATTGTTCCAGGGAGGGACACATGTCTAACTTCCCCCATTCCCGAGACCCCAGGCTATTTAGAGTTGAGATCAGCCCCAACACCCGAAAACATCTTTCTCTGGCCCCAGCAGAGGTTCCATTCCCCTGAGACCACATCATTGTGCTGGGTTGCCCACACCCATGTCCATATGGCATCCTGCACTCTGGGAACAGACAGTCCAATGCAGTGAGGGTGCTGCCCTCAGGGCAAAGTGGTTGGCAGGCACACTTTACACAGTCAGAAAGCTGCCTAATCAGGGCCTCTAGCCACTGCTGGCAACCCCACGTTCTTTGGTGAAGTACCCTTGCAATTTGTGCAGCCACAAAGAGGTAGTAGAGAACCCATATGTCTCTCTCAGGTACAGAAACATGCCTGCAGCACTAGTGAGCCCATTCAGAGCTGCCCATCCCAGTAAAGGGGCTTCAGAGGGATCCAGCATCTCTCTTGGGGGCACAGCAGCCCACCCACAGTCTCAGTGACCTTGTGGGGGCAGCCCACTCCAGCTGAGGAGATCTACAGCATCCCAGTACACTCTTAGGATCACAGGGACCTGTCCACAATTGCACTGGCCTCACCATAAGTGGCCACTCCAGCTGAACAGCTTCAAAGGGCACCAGCATCCCTCTTGGGGGTGAAGGGTCCCTCCCAAAACTGCTAACACCTCTCCCAGAATGCCCGACTTCAACAGTGGTGCTGCAGACCATCCCAGTGTCCCTCCTGAGAGCATAGGGCCCCATACACAAATCCAGGGACCCCACTCAGCGTAGCCCACTTCAACAGCAAAACTACAGAGTACCCCAACACCTCCATTTGGGGTACAGAGGTCTACCCAGAGCCTCTGTGGCACAGTTGAGTCACCTACTCTAGCTAAGGGACTGCTGAGCACTTCATTATCCCCCTCAAAGCCTAAGGTCCTAATCCCGGTCTCCAGAAACCCTGTCCAGGGTCATCCATTTCAGCTGATGACCTTCAGATCACCCCAATATACCTATCAGGTTTCCAGAACACTAGCTGGAATTCCAGTGAGTCCAGTCAGGGTCACCCACCTCAGCCAAGAACTGACAGGTCACCCAGATGCTTCTCCCCAGAATTCGCAGCTGATGACCTTCAGATCACCCCAATATACCTATCAGGTTTCCAGAACACTAGCTGGAATGCCAGTGAGTCCAGTCAGGGTCACCCACCTCAGCCAAGAACTGACAGGTCACCCAGATGCTTCTCCCCAGAATTCAAGATTTTACCCATGATCTTGATGACCCAACCTAGTATCATTCATTTCAGCAAGGAATTATTGAGTGCCCCAGTGCCCAGGCCCAGAAGGCACTCACACACAACTCCAACATTGAATACAGTCAAAGAGACTACACTGCCTTTACCTAGAACCAAAACTAAAACACCTTACCCAATGGTCAATATAAAACACATCTACAGGGCCAGCCCCGTGGCTCACTCAGAAGAGTGCAGCGCTGATAGTGCCGAGGCCGCGGGTTCAGATCCTTTATAGGGATGGCCAGTGCACTCACTGGCTGAGCATGGTGTGGATGACACTGAGCCAAGGGTTGCAATCCCCTTACCGGTCAAAAAAAAAAAAAAGAGGAAGGGAATCTCTCTCCACAAAAGCCATTCCTGAGTATTAGAAGAAGCAACTGCTCAACCAGATGTGCTGACTTCAATGAAGGGATACTAGAAATAGCAAAAAAAAAAAAAAAGAAAGAAAGAAAGAAAAAAGAAAAATTAATCCCCCCCAAAGGAAAACAATAATTCTCCAATACCAGACCCCAAACAACAGGAAACCTATGAAATGACTGAAAGGAGTTAGAAGCAACAATCTTAAGAAATCTCAATGAGACACAAGAAAACTCAGATAGATGACACAAAAAATGAGAAAAACAATGCAGGATCTGAAGGAGGAACTTTATAAAGAGATAGATATCTTTAAAAAGAATGTAGCAAAACTCTTGTGTATTAGTCCATTTTGTGTTGCTGTAACAGAAATACCTGAGACTGGGTAATTTATAAAGAGCAGAGGTTTATTTGGCTTATGATTCTCGGACAGCTGCTTCTGGCGTGGGACTCAGGCTGCTTCTACTCATGGCGGAAAGTGGCAGGCAGCCAGTGGGTACAGGCAGGTCACATGGTGAGAGGAAGCAAGAGAGAGAGAGAGAGACAGAGAGTGGAGGTGCCAGGGTCATTTAAACAACCAGCTCTTGCAAAAACTAACTCACTCATTGCTCCCCCACCTAGGGAGAGCACTAATCCATTCATGAGGGATCTGCCCCCATGACTCAAACTGCCACACTGGGGATCAAATTTCCACATGAGTTTTGGCGGGGACAACACATCCAAACTCTGTCACTCCTGGAACTGAAGGATTCATTCAATGAAATAAAAAATACATCTGAGAGCTTAACCAACAGGGTAGAGAAAGCAGAGGAAAGAATTTCTGATCTTGAAGACAGGCTTTTTGAAATAACCCAGGCAGACAAAAGAAAAAAAAAAAAAGAATTTTAAAAGATGAAGAAAACCTACAACAGTTACCAGACAACTTTAAGCATACCAATATCCAAATTATGGGTGCTCTAGAAGGGAAGGAGAAAGGAAAAGGCATTGAAAACCTATCTGATTAAATACTGGAAAACTTCCCAGGTATTGGGAAAGATATGGATTTCAGATCTAAGAGGCTCAAAGATCCCTAATCAGATTCAACCCAAAAAGGCCCACTCAGACACACATTGTAGTCAAACTGTAAAAAGTGAAAGACAAAGAGAGAATCCTAAAAACAGCAAGAGAAATGTGTTAAGTCACCTATAAGGGAATTCCCATCAGACTAACAACAGATTTCTCAACAGAAACATTACAGGCCAGAAGAGAATGGGATGACATATTCAAAGTATTTTTAAAAAGCACTGCTAGCCAAGAATACTATTCCCAGAAAGGCTATCCTTTGGAAATGAAGGAGAAATAGTGTATGTACCTCCCAGACAAACAGAAACTGCAGAACTTCACCATCAGTCCTACAAGAAATCCTCAAGGGAATGCTGCATCTAGAATCCAAAAAAACTATAATCACCACTGTGAATATACCAGAAAGTACAAAACCCACTGGTAGAACAGATATGCAAATAAGAAAGAGATAGAAACTATACCTTACTACTTCAAAAAAGCAACACTAAAGACAAACAATAACAGAGAAAGAAAAGAACAAAAGATATTTAAAACAACAATACAAAAATTTTAAAATGCCAGGAGTAAGATGATACCTTCAATAACAACCCTAAATGTAAATGGACTGAATTCCCCACTATGAAGACGTGGACTGGCTGAATGGATTAAAATACTAGACCCAACTATACGCTACCTACAAGAAACTTACCTCACCTGTAAAGTCTCACACAGACTAATGGTGAAGGGATGGAAAAAGATATACGACACAAATAAAAACTAAAAATGAGCAGGAGTAGCTATTCTTATATTGGATAAAGTAGACTTTAAACCAAAAACTATAAAAACAGACAGAGGTCATCATATAATGATAAAAGGATCTATTCAGCAAGAGGATATAACAATCATAAAAAATACACACCCAGCATCAGAGCACACAGACATATAAAGCAAACACTATTAGACCTAAAGAGAGAGAGAGACCCCAATACAATAATAGCAAGGGATCTCAATGATGGATAGATCATTTAGGCAACAAATCAACAGATACACAAGATTCAAACTATACCTGAGACCAATTGGACTTGGCAGACATCTAAGGAACATTTCATCCAATAGCTACAGAATATACAGTCTTTTCATCAGCTTATGGAACGTTCTCAAAGAAAGACCACATGTTAGGTCACAAATTGAGTCTCAACAAATTT